GTCCTCACTGCAGGGCGGCCCGTTCCACGGCCGGAGGAGCACCGCCTCAGCGACGAGGTGGAGCTGGGGCTGCGGTTGCTGACGCGGGAGCAGGTCGCGCTCAGGGTCGGGCGTTCGCAGAGGGGGTCCTCCCGAGCAGGCAGGGCACAGCGCCTCGGAGGAAGGAGCGGCGTGCTTTGTACTCAAATGGGACATTGCGCTGCATGGCGACGCGTCAGAGGTCTCCTGCCCTCTGTTCCGACATGGCCTCGCCCGAACCCACCGGGGCCCCACGGTACGTCCAAGATGTTCACACTTGCCACAAACAGGCGTCAACACGACCGTAACACGGGCCCGCATGGCCTGGGGGCAGCCCAGAGACTGTCGTGCGCGAGCCCCACCATGGGCGACGATATTGAGTTTAAGGAGGAGATGGAAGAGCAATTGAGAGGAACCGAGTAGCACCCCACATGCCCATTCCCATCACACTGTCGCCCTCCGCGTTCCTCATCGTCATTATTGTCCTCCTGATCCTTGCCCTTCCTCAATCCCACGATTGTCCTTCCTTCCCCTGCTCCTCTTCCTCGTCATCCTCCAATCATCCACCTTCTTTTTCGTCGCCCTCCTCGTCCGCCTCCTCCCGCCTTCCTCTTCGTTCCCTTTCCCCCACCCCCGTCCATCATCCCTGCTCCCTCGTCCCCTCCCCGCTTCTGCGCCTCCGAATCCTCTCCTTTCTCTCCCTCCCCTACCTCGGTTGTGGGAAAACGCGGGGGCGGGGGGGTGGCGCCAACGGAGGGATATAAATGTTTATGCGCATGTGCACATATGCTGTGAAGCCCTCGCCCCTGATCCGAATTGCGCCTTCAGCGGAGCGTTGGCCTCGAAATCTGCCATTCTTGTTTGTTCGGACACGAGTCCTGTTTGTTCGGACACGGCCTATCTTCCGCACGCCCCGAGTCAGGTATAACCCATCGCGCGACTACTGTAGTTCCACGCATCACTGGCCATCATCACCCACTTCCATGTTTTCCCCCAATCATCCTGTGGTTTTGGGCCGTCGTTTTGAAGAGACGGTGCCCCGCGTTCCTTCCTCCTTCCTCCTCCTCAGGAGGGCCCCAAGACTGCCCCAGGAGAGCTCCAAGGCCCCCGAGAGGCTTCCGAGAGGGCCACAAGAGGCCGCCAAGAGAGCCCCAAGACGGTCCAGGGCCTCCAAGACGGCCCAAAAGAGCCCCAAGACGGCCTAAAAGGGCCCCCAAAGGGCCCCACAGGGGTTCCAACAAGACCCCCAAGAAGGCCCAGAAACGCCAAATAAAAGAACGATCGGTACGCAAAAAGTTATTCACACCAAGGCTCCCAACAGCGAACGGTGACGTGACAAACTCGTGACACCAAGGCTCCCAAGAGCGAACGGTGACGTAAACAGCTCTCAACACCAAGGCTCCCAAGAGCCAGCGGCAACATTAAAAAGTCCCTGAACACCAAGGCTCCCAAGAGCGAGCGGTGACGAAACAAGCTCTTCCCACCAAGGCTCCCAAGAGCGAAGGGTACCGTGAGGCATCTCGGGCAAGTTCCTGGTCCGCTCTTTCCGTTCCCGTGCCGGCCCACGTCGAAAGGCCTTCGGCCCGTGCGTGGGTTGGTTGTGGGTGACAGGCCTCTGGGATGATCGTGGGGATTCTGTGGGAAGCCTCTCGGGCGGTTCCTGGAGGCGGTTTGGAGGCTTCTGGGGGGCGGTTCGGGGGCTTCATTGGGGGGCCTCTAAGGGGTCTCCAGGGGGTGCTCTCGGGGCGGGAAGCCAGGATGCCCAGTGCGCGGCGTTCCTCCCGGGCCGCTTTGGGGGGTCGTACGGAGGCCGTTCGGCGCAGCTCTGGGGGAGCTTCTCGAGCCGCCGTGGGACGGTCTTGGGGGCCTCGTGGCGTCCCGGAGCGTCGGAAGCTCCTAGATGCGAGAACTCCAAACACACAGAACGGTCGTGTGGGCCTCGTGACGTCCTGGAGCGTCGGAAGCTCCTAAATGCGAGGACTCCAAACACACTTGAACATCCATACGGAAATCAATGACGTTTGCTTCCCGGGACAACTCGGGAAGGCTCTTGGAGATGTCTTGTTGCGTCTCGGGCGCCTCTTCGGCCGAGTGAAGGCCACCTGGGCGTCTTGGACCGATTGTTAGGCGATTCGCAGATCTCCTGGGCTGTCTTGGGGGCGTCTTGGGGCGCTCGTTGGCCCCTCTGGGGCCCTCTTGGGGCCGAAAACGTCACGCGAGAAGACGCGATGCGCACCAGATGATTTGAGAATTTCCCGTTGGGGCCTTCCAATGATCCCGCAGGATTGAGGACAGGCTCCAGGAACTAGGCCCAGGACCTGAGGACATGCCAACTCGTGCCGCCAGGGCACGGTGGCGGATAGTCGAGGTCCTGCTTTCCCCTCCGAAAGGGCATGTTCTGCCGCTGCTGGCAAACCCACCCCTCTGGTTCGAGCCCAGGGGAAGGGGGCAAAACAGCCTCGGAATTCCGAACGGGGGATCGGGGGGGGGGCGGAACCACTCTCCCTCTCCTGGTTCGAAGCGCGGGGGGGGGAGGGGCTGAGAGCCCCCCCTGGATCAGACCGCAGGGGGGGAGCAGGGGGGGGGGGATTCCGCTACAGCTGGATCGAGCCCTAGCAGGATGATAGTAGGGCCGGATCTGTCTTCTGTAGGACCCTATTCAAGTTGGGTCGAGCACTCGTAGGGTGGCGAGCCTTAGTAGGATCCGTTAGAGCTGCATCCAGAGCATATTCAGATCCCATTATGGCGCGATCGAGCGCTAGTAGGTCCCATTCGAGCTGGGTCCTGGATCGAGCCCCAGTCGGATGAATTGAGGTCTGGACCCAGCCCTGGTAGCAGGATTCAAGTAAAGTTGGATCGAGCCTGTGTAGGATTCTATTAGTGCTTGGTCGAGCCCGAGTGCGTTCCCCCCCACCGTCTCCACGCCAACTTTGCCACTTAGTCGGCCGCTAGCGACTTCATTCGGGCCTTTCCATGACACATCTCACCAGTGCACATGCAACTGCCAGTTCAACGTCTTCCATTTGAACACTGACGATTCGTCGCTGGCGTTGCAACGTGTGTGCCAGAACTGTGACGCGGTGCGTATCGCACGCGGGAGAGCGAAACGTCGTTCCTTACATCGGCGCCGCACATACTCTTCTTAGAAGTTGCACCTCCGCCTGGGCGCAGCGCGCACACTGTCGCTCGCCAGTCTGGCAGTGCTGCTGCTGCGCACCAGCGGGCGAAACGTCGATCTCCCCAAGCGCCGTGCAGATTTCGCGAAAGTGGCGCTTTCGCCTGGGGCGCAGCTCGTGCCTCTTCGCCCACCCGGACGACACGTCGCCCTCGCCAGAAGCGCCACGCCGATCTCGCGCTGCACGCGAGCGTTTTCCGCTCGGGCGCGGCGCACGCGTTGTCTTCGCTCATCCCCTTGGGAGTGTGGCCCGATGGGCCTGTGTTCCACCACCGCCACCAGCAGTTGGAGGGGGGATGGGGGCGGAGGACGAGGAGGAGGACGAGGAGGAGGAGGAGGAGGAGAAGGAGGACGAGGACGAGGAGGAGGAGGAGGACACCCTCCCCCTCCTACTGATGGTGGCTGTGGTGGTGGAAAACAGGCCCCTCATGGCCGCGCGCCGAGGCGCCGCGTGGGGGTTGTCTGGGAGCTCCGCCCCCCGCATGCGCGCGGCCCGTTTTTCCCCATACATCGCCGTGACGAAAGTTTCTTTCAATTTGCCTTTTGGAATGACGCGCTCGTGCGGAGTAGTCCGGAGTAGTTTTACTAAAACTACTCCGCGCGCAATCGCATCCCGCTCGATAATTTATATGGTTTGGCGCGGAGTAGTTTCCGATCCCATTTTGGGGTAACAGAGTTATTAACGTCTCCGGGATCGGAAACTACTCCGCCGAATGACCCAGCATCATGTCATGTTAGGAATCTTGAGAGGGATGGGAGAGATCTTCATCATAGCAAATTGCAGAGACTTTTGTCACGGCTGTGTATCCTAAGATGGGGGTATTGTTGTTATGCCGCCTACTCCTTCCTCTCTTCCTCATCCTCCTCGTCGTACCTAGACTTACTCATACACAAACTTAGTCATACTCAGACTTACTCGTACTCAGACCTGATCATATTTACTTACTCATACTCAGACCTACTCATACTCAGATCTACTTATACTCAGACTTACTCATGCTGAGACTCACTCATACCCAGGCTTATTCATACTCAGACCTTCTCATTGTCTGATTTACTCAACACACAGCAGATTGTGAGGATGCCTCAGGCGGGGCGCTGGTTTCAGCACCCTTAAAGGGAGCCGCCGAGGGGTATTACACTGTCACGTTCGCGGCCGTTTTGCGGGGATATCTCAAGCGGTTTGCGTGTTTTCTGTCTCAACATCCTTCGCTTGGAGAGCAGATTGTGAGGATGTCTCAGGCGGGGCGCTGGTTCCAACACCCCTAAGGGGATCCGCCGAGGGGTATAGCACGGTCACGTTCGCGGCAGTTTTGTGGGGATGTCTCAAGCGGTTTGCTTGGTTTCTGTTCCACATCCTTCGCTTGGAGAGCAGATTGTGAGGATGTCTCAGGCGGGGCGCTGGTTTCAGCACCCTTAAAGGGAGCCGCCGAGGGGTATTGCACGGTCCCGTTCGCGGCCGTTTTGTGGGGATGTCTCAAGCGGTTTGCCTGTTTTCTGTCTCAACATCATTCGCTTGGAGAGCAGATTGTGAGGATGTCTCAGGCGGGGCGCTGGCTTCAGCTACCTAAGGCGGGCCGCCGAGGGGTTTCGCGGCCGTTTTGTGGGGATGTCTCAAGCGGTGTGCCTGTTTTCTGTCTCAACATCCTTCGGTTGGAGAGCAGATTGTGAGGATATCTCAGGCGGGGCGCTGGTTTCAGCTACCTCAGGGGAGCCGCCAAGGGTGCTTCCACGGCTCCGTTCGCGGCCGTTTTGTGGGGATGTCTCTGGCCGTTTGCCTGTTTTCTGCTTTTGCGTTGTGTCCCGTTTTGCGTTTCTGTTTTTGCTGTGTACCATCTGAGATGCACATATGGCTCATATGGCCAGACGCCTACTTGAATCTCCCAGATGAAATATCACCTTTTACAGAGGGTGCACATCTGGGGAGCTCCACGCAGTGAGTTATTTGTGTCTTGGCCGGGTCGTCGGCAGCGGGGCCGCGCGCGAGCGCCTTCTGTTCGCCAGCCTGGGCGCGCGCCGGTCCCGATGTCCAAATGCGCCAGCGCAGGGTCGACTCGTGTGTCCAGTCGGGCCTGTCCCTCCACAGGAGGAATATCCAGTCATTCGCTGCGTGGAGCTCCCCATCTGTGCATCTATTCGCATGGACCTGTCCGCCGTGAGAGTCTAGGCGCAAGAGTCTTCGAATAGAAGCGGGCTTGAGTTGTGACGGTCTGGTCATGAATCTAACTTCGAACGGATTGGAGCGTGAATGAGTCTCGGGAATACGAGCGCGTCTCTGCGCATGAGCCTGGGGCCTCCAGGGGCCTCCAGAAACCTCCTGGGCCTTCCTGGAGCCTCGCGTAGCCTCCTGGAGCCTCAGGAGAAGCCCGATCTATAGGAACATACGTACATAAAGCATCGCGGATTGGAGCCACAGGAGAAGGGCAGTCTATAGGAGCACACGTAAAACACCAAGGACTCGTGCCCCAGGGGAGGCCCAATCTATAGGAACAGACGTAAAACATTTAGGATTGTATACACAGGAGAGGGGCAATATTTAGAAACATACGTATAACATCAAGGATTCGTGCTCCAGGTGAGACCCAACCTACAGGAGCAAACGTAAAACACATGGGATTGGAGCCACTCCTGTTGCCTTCTGAGGCCTCCTGCTCCTGGGGCCTCTCGGGGCCTCCTGTTGCCTGGGCCTCCTGGCACTTCCTGTGGTCTCCTGGGGCCTCCTGTGGCTTCCTGATGCCTCCTGGGGCCTCCTGGAGCCTCTTGGGACATCCTGTGGCCTCTTGAATCTTCCTGTGGCCTCCTGATGCCTCCTGGGACCTCATGTGGCCTCCTGGGGCCTCCTGAAGCCTGCTGGAGCCTCCTGTGGCATCCTGGGGAGAACATGTGCCCACGAGTCTGGCCACCAAAACAGGCAAACCGATCGAGACATCCTCAAAATCTGGCCCCCCTGGGGGGTGAAAATGAGCGCCTCGCTCGAGACATCCTCCAAATCTGCTCCGACAGCGGAGGATGTTGGGGACCAAAACAGGCAAACCGCCTGAGACATCCCCGCCATTTGGGCGCGAACGGAGGCCGTGCAATACCCCTGGCGGCCCCCACTTAGGAGTGCTAAAACCAGCAAGCCGCTCGAGACATCCTCACCATCTGCTCGTCATCATCTTCATCATCATCATCATCATCATCATCAGCAGCAGCAGCAGCAGCAGCATCATCATACTCATCCATCATTCACCATCGCCATCGTACTCACATCATACTCTCACCATACCATGGTCATCATCATGGCAATCATCATCATCATTGCCTAGTGCAGAGAGGGAGGAGGGGAGGGGTGGTAGGTGGTCCGGCGCGGTCGGAGGATCACAAGAACCCCATCTTATCCTGTGGATATGGGGGAAAATAGTCAGAAAATAGTCTGGGGATGATTGTTTGACTATGTTTGGCTATTTTGTGGCATTTTTGAAAATTCTTGACGCTTCGCGTATCCCCACCAGCTCGCTGTGCCCCAGCCTCGGTCATACCGCCCTCTGGACTTCTCCTTGCGGGCCGCGAATCAAACAAAGTATCCCCACCAGCCCATCCAGAAACGACGCCCAGGCGAGTAGAGGTGATCATGGAAGCGGGGCAGCATACAGAAAAACAAGGGGCTGGGGAGGCCGTCGTACCCCAGGGGGGGGGGATGGAGGAGGAGTCGGAGGCGGAAGAGGAGGAGGATGATGAGGGTGGGGAGGGAGGAATGAGGAGGAGGAGGAATAGGCGGATGATGATGTTGATGTTGATATTGATGATGCTGATGATGACGATGATGGTGGTGGTCTTGACGATGGTGTTGGTGATGGTGATGGTGATGGTGATGGTGATGATGATGATGGTGGTGATGATGAGGGGGAGGAGGAGGAGGATAAGGGCGATCAGAAGAGTCAAAGGCCTCTTGAATGCCTCGCGGAGTCTCTTGGGATGTCTCTTGGGATACTCTTTGAGGTCTCTTGGGGCGTCTTGGGGGCCTCTTGGCGGTCCCGGGAGCTTCTTGGACCGTCTTGGGTGCCTCGGGGGAGCCACTTGGGGCCTCTTGGGGGCCTCTTGGGGGTATTTTGGGGGACTCTTGGAGGCCTCTTGGGGCCTCCTGGTCGCCTCTTGGGGCCTCCTGGGCGCCTCTTGAGGCCCTCTTGGGGCGCTCTTGGGAGCCTTGGGAGCGCTCTTGGGGCCATCTTGGAGGTGATCGATCAGAGGAAGGGGGTCCCTCAATTAGCACCCCCCCTCGGGAGCCTCTAAAATCGGCCAAAACCTTAGTAACACCGATGATTTTGGCTTCCTCGCCGAGGCCGTTTTGGACGCTCCAACTACCAGCGAAACCCCCGTCCAGGTCCAGGGGAGGGGGTTAGGGGGAGGGGTAAACCCCTCCCCGAAGGGGAAGAAGGAGGGGTGGAAGAGGAAATTCCCCAAACCACCTACGCCCAGAGGGCTGGTGGGATTTCTTATTTTTCGTCCAAAAACCGCCTGTAGGGGGACATGCCCCACCTAACTCTTGTGTCGCAAGAGAGAGGTAGGGAGCGGGTGGGGTCTGCTGATCGACCTGGCCAGCTCATTCTTAACCGCACCCCCTTCCAAATCCAAATGGATGCAATCTTGGCCCCACTCTATCCTTGATATGCTTCTCTAATTCCACCCTGCCCCATTCGACTCTGATTCAGATTTTGTCCTACGACCCTCCGACTCTATGCTACTCATGCCGAGCCGCACTGTACTCAGCCCGATCGCTGCCTCTTGACGCTCCCCCCCCTAGATCATGCACGATTCCCCCCCTCGGCCCTCCTCGATTCCACCGTCCGCCTCACGCTCGGACGCTGGGTTTGTTTCAAGATGCGTGCCCTAGAGCTCTGAACCCCTTCTCCCAGACCAGCTGTTCATCTGAACCGCTCTCTGACGTTTTCAGGCCCAGAGACGACCCGCAGCTTGCGAAGCGGGGGGAAAAACACACGCGGCGCGGTCTTTGCGAGGGCTGGTGATCTCTGGAAGCCCCCAGAGGCCCCCCCCACCCCCCTGAGAAAAAAAAGTGTCAACGACGGTCAAAACAATTTAGCTACTTTCATAATGTATCGTTTTTTTATTCATGGTTTCGCCGATCGGCGCGGGCCCCCAACTGAACCCCCCCCTCCTGGAGTAGATCTTGGCTGTTTCTTGGCGCCTTTTTCGAGCGAGTGGAGTCTCCCCCAGAGGCCGCACTCTTGCAAACAGTCGCACTAAGCAGCGGTCCGGAGCCAGACCCCCCCCCCCTTTTCGCCCCATGTCGAAACGAAACGCTCACAACTCGACTCGTCCTTCCTCCGTCCCTCCTCTGGCCTGGGAGGTGCTCAAGATCGCCACCTCCCCGTTCCGGCACCGCGAGCCGCGGGTCGTGCAGCAGGCGTGGCCACCGCCCGCCTCCCCCGCGTGTCCAGGCTGGGGAGCCAGAGGGGGAGCCGACGAGGAGGCGGGAGGAGGACCCGGAGGCGGAGGAGGAGGAGGAGGAGGAGGAGGAGGAGGAGGAGGAGGCGGAGGAGGACGAGGAGGAGGAGGACTGGACTGTAGCTCACCGAGCATGCAACCCTCGGTTGCTTCTCGAAAAGTCGGGAATGGGGACGAGGACCTGGACCTGACCTCCTCTACCAGCTCTCACGGGCATCATCCGTCTCCCCCTGGAGCCAGTGAGTTTTAGAGGCCGTCAAGTCCAGGGATGTCGGGGTTTAATGGGGGGTATTGGGGTTTCGAGTAGGAACCCAGCTGGCCGAGGAAAAGGAGAACACCGATAGAAGGAGGAGGCAAGCTAGGTGCGATCGCGCCATATCTGGCAGCCTACACCTCTCACCCATTCCTTCCCATTGAGCTGATTTGTTCCCTATCCGTCGACGGGTGTCATACACCCTCCAAATGACCCCTATCATGGTATGCACAATCAGGCAGGGGAGATGTGAGGATGAGGTAGTGGATGGACAGGAAGAAGAGGATGAGGAATAATGAGGACGAGAAGGAAACACATGAGGCAAGCGAAGTGTGCTCGCGCCATATCTAATGTCGTACTCCTTGCACCCATCCCCCTGGAACTCCCCAAATGACCCCATCGTGGCATGCGCAATCAGTAAGGGGATCTGTGTACATTGGAGAACTTGGAGAAGGTGGATGAGCAGGAGGAGGAGGAGGACGAGTAGGAGGAGCAGCGAAAGCAGGAGGAGAGGCAGGCGGGGAATTGGAGGAACAGCAGGACCCGGGGATAGAGGAGGGGACAGGATATGGACGACAACGACGAGGAAGGGTTCGGATTCAGAAATGTGGCCCGCGCTGTGACGCCTTTCCTAACGTGAGGCCAACGCTGCAGCGGGAGCAGCATTAAACACAAACGCGTTCCGGCCGAAAGTGAACATATTACAACCTCGAACATGCACAGCCAACCCGCACAGTAAGGATGAACGACTCTCAAAGGGTACCCTTGCATCCTTCCCCGTCGGCCCATCCTTGGCCACCTTCGTTGGCCGCGCCCCGCTCGCAAAGTGTCGGCATGGCCTTCTAATGCCCTTGCAGATCAAGTCGGGCGTGTCCCTCTACAGGAGGGATGCTGAAACATAGTCTAGAAAGCTTGGTGACGTTTTTTGTGTTATATATATATATATTTATTTATTTATTTATTTATACACAAAACATCATGTTCGATAATTTTGAATATCTTTAAGCGGTAAGCATCTTGAAGTCATCGTCCAAAATCCGCCTGTAGGAGAACATGCCGACGTAAGCCCCTGCATCCCCATCGTGCGTCCTCTTGTTGCACGGCTTGACTGTACATTCTCGCCGCGCAGAGAGCAGGCAGCACGCGGGAGAGACAGCGCTCCGCTGACGCAGGAACACAGTATTCATATGGAGCAGCTGCAGAGGAGAATGATGATGCTGACGATGATGATGATGCTGCTGATGATGACGATGATGATGATGACGATGACGATGACGATGACGATGACGATGACGATGACGATGATGATGATGATGATGATGATGATGATGGTGATGATGATGATGATGATGGTGATGATGATGATGCTGATGATGCTAATGCTGATGCTGATGCTGGTGCTGATGCTGATGCTGCTGCTGATGATGTTGTTGGTGGTGGTAATGGTGGTGATGAGTATGTTGATTATTATGATGATGATGATGATGATGATGATGATGATGATGATGATGATGATGATGATGATGATGATGATGATGATGATGATGATGATGATGATGAGTATGATGATGATTAGGATGATGAGGATGATGCTGATGATGATGATGATGCTGCTGATGATGATAATGATGAGCGGTGGTGGTGTTTGTGGTGGTGATGGTGATGATGACGAGGAGGAGGAGGAGGAGGAGCAAGGTTGCAGACGCTACAGTCTTAGGATTGAAGTCCGCTCAACGTCAAAGAGGAGGAGCAATGGGGGGGGAGGAGGAAGGGAGAAAGAGGAGCATGGGAGGGACTGGGAGTTGGCGAGGAGTAGGTGGTGAATGAGGGGAAAGGAGGATTGGGGGATCATGAGCTATGGCGGAGTTCCCAGGCCAGGCTAAAGCTCTCGGTCTGGGTTCCTGTCTTCGCAGACTTCGTACAACCATTGTGAGCCGAGAGTAGATCCGGAAGGAGGAGTATGAGAAGTAACGCACGCGGGGCCATCAGGAGGAGGTGGTTGATCAGTGCAGGAGCGGGGGGAAGATGATTCGGACGGGGCAGGAGGAGGAGGAGGCGGAGGAGGAGGAGGCGGAAGAGGAGGAGGAGGAGGAGGTGGATGTGGGGGTGGTATCGTGAGACTCATGGGCGGGGGGCTGCTTTGCAGGCGGCGTTGGTATCCGACTCCCTGTTTGTCCAGACAGCGACGAATGATGTTCGAGGATCCTGACATTGACGTCGCCAGAGCACCCTGGCCACTGTCTTTCTTAAGGCAGGCCCAGGACGAGGATCAATCACTCAAGAGCGTCCCAGCCAAGTTTCGGAGCGCTCAAGAGAATCATGGAACTGCCGCGGAGCCCGATGCATCCTCCAGATCCGCCCGCTCGCCCGCTCTCGAAGACGGCTGCTTGGTCCCAGCCCAGCTTCGTCCTCGTCCTGCCCTCTCCGCCCATGCCAAGAAACACCCTGCTTGCCTCCAGGATGCCCTGGGTTTCGTGGGTTTCGATGGTTTTGCTATTGGAAGCGTGGCGTTCCCCCGCCCCAGAATCAATGGACCTCCTGGGGTCTCAGGGTTGGGTTTCTTGTGGAAGGTTTCTTGTGCACTGGCCTCCACTGTCAAGGCCTCCTTCTGGCGGATCTCCAGGCCTCCGGCAGCCCCCGACGGATGGGGCGGCATGGCGGGCGCCCCGCCCGCGCCCGCGGGAGGCCGTGCTCGCGGAGCTCGCCGCGTGCGACCCGGAGGCGGGCGTCCGGGCGGCGAGTCGCGGTGCGCGCGAGCCCGTCGGCGCAGCCTGGGCGGTCGGTCGGGGGCGGTCAAAAAGGGAGGGGTCGATGACTAAGGGGGGGGGATAGGAAATATCATGGCGTGGGCCATGAAATCTCCTCAGATTTCATAGCGCCTCCTCTTAGTGTAATGGCCTCCGGCCAGTGCCGCCGATCCGGGGCGCTCCCGATGCGTGTGGGAACGGACGATGACGACGACGACGACGACCGACGACCGGATCAACGGCGGACGATTATGACGACGACGTCCCTCCTCCCCCCGCTGCCCTCTCCGGTTTCTTGGACCTCCCCCCCCCCCCGCTTGAGCTCGACCCCTCCCCCTCCGTCCCCGCTCGAGCTTCCTCCTTGGACCCCCCCCCCCGCTTGAGCTCGACCCCCTTCCCCCGTCCTCGCTCGAGCTCCCCCCCCCTCGATTCTTGGACCGCCCCCCTCCCCCGCGCTGACCGTCCCCCCCCCGTTCTTGAGCTGACCCCCCCCATCCGTTGACCCCCCAGGTCCTCGCTCGAGCTCCCCCCCCTCCCCCCTCGATTCTTGACCCCCCCCCACCGCTGACCCCCCCCCCCCCAGCTTGAGCTCGACCCCCCCCCTCCGTTCGATCCCCCCCCGTCCTCGCTCGAGCTCCCCCCCCCCTCTCGATTCTTGAACCCCCCCCCCGCGCTGACCCCCACCCCCCCGCTTGAGCTCGACCCCTCCATCCGTTCGACCCCCCCCCGTCCTCGCTCGAGCTCCCCCCCCCCCCTCTCGATTCTTGAACCCCCCCCCCCCGCGCGACCCAAACCCCCCGCCTTGAGCTCGACCCCCCCCCCGGTTTCGCCCCCCCCCCCCCGTTCCTCGTCGATCGGGGACGTTGGCCGCCTGATCTTGGACCCCCCCCGCGCTGACCACCCCCCCCGCTTGAGCTCACCCCCCCCCGTCGTCGACCCCCCCCCGTCCTCGCTCCAGCTCCCCCGCCCCCCCTCGATTTTTGGACCCCCTCCCCACCCCGCGTGACCCCCCGCTTGGACCCCCCCCCCCGCGTGGAGCGTTCATTGAATTGCGTGGATAATTCGCCAGATCCCCCCCCCCCCAGAGCGAAGCTTGAGCGAGCTCAAGCCCACGCTCTCAGAAACTCACACGCCGGATCGGCGGATTTCGGTGCGTTCCCGGGGGGCCACCTCCAGCGAGGAGGCCCACGATGCCTCCCCGAGTGCACACAGCTCGCTCTGGTTGGGCGGGCACGGGTTTCCTGCACAAGATGGTCGGGTCGAGCCTAGCACAGCCGTGCGACGTGGCCCAGGTCACCCGCCCGGGCGTTGAGGTGACAGCGGCGTGTGGCCTGGAGATCGAATAATATTCTTCTTATTATTCTTATTCTTCTTCTTTCCCTACCTAGGCTCTGCCTACACGGGTTCTTACTCTCTATCTTCTTAAAGGGGCCGGGCAGTGGGAACCGGCCCGGGCGGTTCCCCCGGTATCCGCCCCGCGGTTCCCCCAGTTACGTTCCCTTAGCTTAGCGTTGGTTATCTCATCTCAGCTTAGCGTATTTCATCTGAGCTTAGTTTAGCTTCATCTTAGTTCAGGTTTATCTTAGCTTAGCTTACCTTCATCTTAGCTTCGCTGAGCTTTAGCATAGCAGAGCACACCATAGCATAGCATAGCGTAGCATAGCATAGCGCAGCATCGCATATCATATCATAGCCCAGCATAGCATAGGCTATGCCTATGATATGCTGTACTATGCTACCTAGGCTATGCCTAGAGGGTTAGCTTAGCTTAGCATAGCGCAGCGCTGTGCTTCGTTAGCATAGCATAGCATCGCATAGCATAACCACGCATATCATAGCATAGCATAACATGGCATAGCGCAGCATAGCATAGCATAACATATCATATCATATCATAGTATATCATATCGCAGCTTAGTATAGCATAGCATGTCATAGCATAGCTTAGCATATCATCGCACATCATGCCATATCATAGCTTAACATAGCATATCATATCATATCATAGCACATCATAACATATCATAGCATAGCATAGCATAGCATAGCGCACCATAGCATGGCATATCATAGCATAGCATAGCATAGCAACTAATGCTGCTTTCCTAGGGGCTCCAACTTCTAGGTAGGGTCGCACTGGGGTAATATTTCTTCTTCTTCTTCTTCTTCGTCAGGGGGTGGCGCGAGAGTGTGAAGAGAATCGCGGTTTGCACTCGGCGCTGCGCTGAGCGAGAAGTTAGGTGTTTTACCGTAGGTGGCTATGGTTCTCGCTCTGCACATCGGAGGACTTGAGCTCTCAGGGTGGGCGGAGGGTATGGTGCCTTCTTGGATGTCTCGCCTGGTCCGTGGGATTCTACCCACCCGCAGTATCCATGCAGCTCACAATGCGACAGCCAATGCAAGGTTTCCCAGCGTTCTGAAGCACTCACAGGCCACGGCGTCCGACACTTCCTCCAGACCCGCTGGTCTTTAAGCAATGCCGGATACTGTCCGTATGTTGCCCTTGTCGTCTTATTTGGTCAAGTCTTTTTGGGCCCCAGGATCGGAGTGCGCGCCAACCTGTTCAATTGTTCTGGCCCAGAATCTCGCGTACACTCGGAACTTAACTGTTGTGTCCGCGGGGAATCTCCCATGCAGGGGCCCATCCACAACGCCGAGGAGAGGGAGGACAAACAGGAGTGCGAAGAGGAGGAGGAGGAGGAGGAGGAGGCGGCGCAAGGTGGACCTCCCTCGTTGCCACGGCCTTGACGCCGCTCGGGAAAAGGGCCAGGATGGCTTTCGGGATGGATCTGGAATCTGGAGATCGGCTTTGAGCGGAATCTCGCAGGTGTCAGGGGATCAGACAGGCTCAGGGTGGGGATCGCCAAATCGGTCTGAAAGCGTTCCGAGGGGGGAACTGAGGGAGCGTCGTCCGCGCCAGGCCCGGCCAGGGGCTGGCGCCAGCCCGCAGTGATCGGCCCACCCGGTAGCAGCCCGTGCTGGGCACAGGCGCAGGAGCAGGACAATAGCTGCACCCTGGGGCGGTCTGCAGGGCCACCTCGCATGAGGAAGGCGAGCGCCCGCGTGCCTCCGCGCAACAGCAAACGCTTCGCAAGCCTCCACTCGCGTGGTCGCGTGGGGGAGCGCCCCCTTCAATGCTGCAATTGATCCGGGGCGCACTGTCTTCGAAATGCTCAGGGGAACGGGTTGCGCTGGCCAGGGCCTCCAGCCAGCGCTGCCCGGCACCGGCAGCGCCTCGGCGGGAGGGCGGAGCCGCGCGCACCGGCAGGGCGGGGAGGGCCCGCCGCCAGCGCCTGGCCGCGGCCGCCCAGCGCCACGGGCACGCAGCGCCCCCGAGAGCAGAGCCGTGCCGGGCCCGCGCCCGCTCCCGCTGCTGCTGGCCCTCGGGTAGAAGGCGTGCCTGCCCCGACCTCGAGGGCGAGCCGTCGGTATAGCCTGGCGCCGGGGTGTCTGGAGTGCCTCTATCTCGGGGGTGGACAGAACCCCCAACAGTGACACGTCGACTAGTGAATTGTCCGTTTTCGGTTCTCGAGAGGGCGCCGTGGCCGTTATTGCGAAGGCCTGACGGCCGGTGCCGCCGACCCTGTTCGCAATGCGCAGCAAGAGGCACGGGCTGTGGGATGGTTTGGGGGAACGGGGAGAAGGACGAGAAGGTGGGGGAGGGAGGTGTCGTATCTGACCCGGGACTTCCCCGGGACTCCCCCGGGACCCCCCCCGGGACCTCCTCTCCCCCCCCCGTCGGGGAAGGGAAAGGGAAGGGGCTTCCCTTCGACTCAATGACGACGTTGCTCAAGGTCGGTACGGGGGGGGGGCGTCGTATCTGACTCGGGGGGAGGGTCGCTACCCCCCCCGCTACCCCCCCCCCCTCCCGGCGGGGGAGGAATGAAAGGGAAGGGGCTTCCCTTCGACTCAATTACGAGGTTGCTCAAGGTCGGCTTGGCTGGAGCCCAGGGGAAGAGGAGTCCCAGGGGGGGGCGTCGTATCTGAGAGGGCGCCGTGGCCGTTATTTTCCAGGCTTGCGCCCGCCAGGTTTGGGCCCGAGGTCGTTTTCACTAAACCACGTTTTACTAAAGGGAGGTCTGTCCATCCCCGACTATCCCGCTCCCCGCGGCGGCTGGCCTTCGCGTCCCGCCTCGCGGCCACCCGCTGCTTGGCCGGCGTGCTGGCCGCGGGGTGGCGGACAGAGACGTCGAGCCCGTTGTCGTCCTGGTGTTCCCCTGATGGCCACACGCTCGACGCGGCCGTCGGGGCGGTGGCGGTCCTGGGTCGGTAGCCTCTGCTCGAAGAGTGGCATCTCGCCGCGCCAGCGTTGGACGAGGGCTCCGAGCCTCCTCCAGGCGAGGTCGCGTGGCGCGCCACCACGCCGCTGAGCTGGCAGGTCAGGGCATGGCAGCTAGCCGCTCTGGTTCAGCGCTCCGTCACAGCCGGCTTTGTCGGCGTCGCGCAGGCAGCATCCGTCGGCACGAACGGGATGTGTACGGAAAGAATGGGTACAATGCCCAACAGTAGTTCCTGTTCATTTTGTAAAGGACTCGCTGTCCACGCCGCCGCGGTCTGTATCAATTCGAGACAGAAGGCCGCCTGCCCAGCAGCGGCCGCTATTGGTTTGGGACAACATTTGTTTTGGGGATGGTACCAAGTTTTTCCGTACCCATTTCGGGCGTCCAGAATCTGGCCAGCGCCGTCGCAAGGCCATGTCTGTCGAGTTCAGCGCGCGGGAGTTGCAGCCGCCGCCGCGCCCCCGTCTGCCGAAGGGCGTCCTCCAGCGGTCAAAGCGCGTCCTCAGGGTAGGCCAGGAGCCAGGCGGAGGAGGAAGAAGGGGACAGGAGCAAAGAAAGAGCTTGAGGATGAGGAGCAACATCGCATATGGGGAGTGTAGTGGGGGATGAGACAGGGGAAGCGAAGAGAAGCACGACGGAAAAGGGGGAGGAGGAGGGTGGGGGGGGAGCCAGGAGAATGAGGAGCGGAGATGGC